ATAGAACCTTCTTTAGCCTGCATGACGGCAAAACAAGTTTATCTTTGTTTCTAGTATTAAAATTGTGTACATGACTATGTTTAATATAATTGTTAATATTGTTTCTTACATAAAGTATAGAATTGTATATGAATTGGGAGGCCACTGTTAATATCCCAATTTCTTTGAATTTATCTCTAAGTGACGTTCTTGAACCCAATTGATAAATGGCCCTTACTGCTCTTTTTTGTAAAATAAATATAGACTCTATATCTGCAGCCATACCCCACATCAGAATGCCATATGACATAACGCTATGGAAATAACTAAAGTATACTGTCCTAGCGGTATCTACATCTGTAAGTTGCCTAATTTTTTTTATTGCAAAGGCAGCTGAACTTAGTTTTCCTGCCAATAATGAAATGTGAGGATGCCATTGCAATTTAGAATCCAGCGTTACACCTAAGAAGATTGTTGAATCAACCAACTCGAGCTTTTCATTATTAAGTTTAATTTCTGTAAGTTCAGCTTTTACATTAGGTAACATAAACTTTATACATTTCGTTTTTTTAGCATTTAACTGGAGATTATTTACAGTAAACCAGGTCATAATCTGTGATAGAGCATTGTTTACATCGTCAAAATTATTTTTACATCTATCAATATTAAATATTAAAGAAGTATCATCTGCAAACAATACTATATCGCATAAAGTTTCGGCAAAAAATGGCAAATCATTTATGTAGGTTAGAAACAGAAAAGGACCCAGAATAGATCCCTGGGGAACTCCCATTTTTACTTGTGATCCAGATGATCTCACACCGTTAATATCGATCATTTGTCTTTAAGAACATTATCGAATATAGCATTGTGAATGCAAAATTAATCAAATATCATTTTAGTGCCTTTTTTGTGATTAAAGTTATATTGGTATTACAGATACAATAAATACAACAAACTCAAAAATTATGTGCCTCGGTAAAAAAATCTATTCAGTCCATCATTTCGATAATAGAAAAATATTAGAAACTTTTTTTACTTCAATTTAACAAAAAAACGGCTTAGAAATAATGGGCTCATGCCATCTTAAGGCCAAACTTAATAAGTTGGGAGCAAGCTACGTCACAACTCTGTAGAAAATGTACAACAGTGTGACGTCAACTCAGCAGTCATGAGGAGCTCCAGATAATAAATTTTTTGATAAGAGATTTACCGCTTGAAATATGGTGACATAAAGTGGATGTTCATTAGTACATAGTTCCACATATTTCACCAGATACACGACATGCAATCTTTTTTACACATACTTGTTAGAAAAAAAATAAGTATTTTTTGGTCACCTATCCTATAACCGGCCCTTGCGAAAGTTGCCTAACTTCCACATCGCAGACCGAACAAACTAATCAATGCACCACCGCGTTCCTCTCTCTCTTTAAATATCTAGGATGCTTTTTAAATAATTAAAAAATCAAATTGTGAATCCAAAAATGATCAAATATTACAATTATATTGTTTTATTACCTCTTTTCTGTGTTCTGTAGTTTTTTTTTTGTTAAGTACTGTCTACGCACTTGCCATAAAAATAAAGTTTTTATGGAGAAAAGTTGGTACAGGGGCATAATTATTTATTACTAGCTTTCCACCAGCGGCTTTGCCCGCGTGATCCCTAGGGAACTGTTTATTTGGGTATCGATTCATAGCATGACTCAGATATAATTACAAATTGAATAGTAACCAATGATTGCTGTTATCATAGCATAGTTTTTCATACATATATTTTTGGTATCTTGAACAGTTTTCGCAGCGCACGCAACGGAAGCCCTCAAGGATGAATAATTTTCCCCTTTTTTTCCATTATTTCTTCGCTCCTGATAGTTGCGATAAATGGTCTATTCAACACAAAAAGAATTTTTCAATTCGAACCAATAGATCCTGAGATTAGCGCGTTCAAACAAACAAACTCTTCAGCTTTATAATATTAGTATAGATTATTATTATATTATTCATTTATAGTAGTTTCATTTAACTTTCACAATGGCATAGGATAGGTGACCAAAAATTAATAATCTCGAGTTCATCTTTGGTTCGATAGAAAAAGCTGTTTATCTGCAGTCTTTAACACCCATCAATCCGCACTGGGAACGCGTGGTGGGTCTTGGCCCATTCTCCCTATTGGCTTTATAAGGCCTAAGCCCCATAATGGGGACATCTATAGGCTGGTGATGATATATATTGTATTTGTGTGTATTATCTATGTGTCAGATATAGAAAGATAGATATAGATACCACTTTATTGTTAATACCAAATACAAACCGTATGTTTTATGTATGTATGAACAAAAAACAATATTATGGATATGTGTCACAATCGGCAATCAGATGTATACCATATTACCAGTTATTCCTCTCCAAGCCCGACTTGTAGAAAACGCCTAAGGCTGTAAGTCCACCGGTGTATACTTGCGCAAAAAGTGTTAAATAAAAAAATAATAATTGTGCAACTTTAGAATCTATCGAAATTCCTTTCAATTTTACATTTGAGAAGTATTCACCAATTTCACGTTACAACTATATGTGATAGCACTGAGATGTTTTTATGAAAGATTGAATGAACGACATTGTTAATTTGACTTTAAATAGAATTGCTAAGACAAGCAAAAAATGCTTCAATGTTATTATAAAATGTCAAATGAAAGAGTTGAATAATAATGCGTATTTTGTATATTTTTTTTTAATTTTATAATCATTTAATTATATTCATTATTATCTTTAACAAAATTGTAAAAGGTGAACATTTCTAGAATATTTTCTAAAAAAAAAACGGGTGGTCATCTGAGGTAGCCAACCGGACGATCGCAATTAACTCATCGCTAATCACCAACTGCTGATCATATTGTAACATTTTTCAATCGCCGTTCTATTACGTTATTTTCTCTCTCTTTCATGCAGTAGCCTCTCTTTTTATATTAAATAAAACAATTAACAACGTTTGGAATAAAGAGTATATTTAAACAATCCTTTCATAATTTATAAGTTAAAAAATATATAATTATTCTTAAACTATCAACACTTACGACGATATAACATTGAAAATATACATATGACATTTTCTTTAGAAAAATCGTTTATATAATATGTTTTAATATTATATTTATCCACGAATACCATATTAAACTTTTAATATTTAGGTTATAACACTAAATGTGCAGTCAACAGCATATAAGTAGGTATACAAAACTAATACTATCCACTTTACTTTAAACCTTAAACCGTTGTAGATAGAGTTTCAATTTTATTGTGTAATTTTGTAATAAAACCTTATATGCTGATGTGTGTAACTGTACATTAAATAGGTATAGGTATATTGAATACAGTGGAAAGTGGTTAAGACGACAACTTTTACTGAATTAAGATTTGAAATGTTAATTAGACAAATATACCAGTGATTTCAAGATCACAAATCATCAACACAGTTCAGCGTAGGAACTAAAAGCGCATCATATAATTATGAAAATTAGAAGTAATTATACTAATTACATGATTAAAGCAAAATTTATTATAGTTTGTGCAACAAAATTACTACAATTATCAGTCAATCTAATTATCAAAGTTCAAATCCGGGAGTTAACAAGAGTCGATTAAAGAATGTATGTGATCACAAACGTTTACTGATATATATAGGTAGAGTCTAAAAAAAATAAAATTAATATTTTCAATAAAAAACGCTTAAAAATCTACTTTGTCACATCTACCACCAGAGTGCCAGGGACAAAGTAGATTTTTAAAGCATTTTTCATTAAGAATATTTTTCAGTATAGCATTGTGAATGCAAATTTTATGAGATATAATAACATCCAATAAAATTAATAAATTGTAATTTTTATTCTGCGAATCACGTGACCGCAACGTAACCATGACGATGACATTATTGTTCAAAATGACAGCAAAGGTGATACCTCAATAATAACATTGACATTACTAGGCATGTGAATCCATTTTGAAAAAAAATAACAAGTAATATTAAAAAACCTTTCAGAGCTGAATTTTTAAAAGTGAATTAACATGTCTTAACAAAATATATTAGTTGGCTGTCTTTTTAAACAATGACGTCACAGCTCAAAATATTATTTGAAAATTTTAATTGAATTAATAAAAGAAGTTTTAATTGTTTTTAATGTTGGATTAAGAAATACCTACAAGAATTATGGGTAAACTATAAACAAATTATTAAATAAGAATAAGTTTTGAAAGATTGTCAACTCCCGGATTATCAAAATCTTTGTGTAAAGATACCCCATATAAGTTGTTCTATTAATTATTCATCAACGGGGGGCCTTGTGTGTAAAGTTACAGAGTATTTTTTACATGTTTTTTAATTGTTGAATTAAGTTACTAATTTAAAAACTTTCTGAAAAAGTTGTCAACGTTATGAAAGTGTTTGTTGTTAATATTTTTACATACATAATATTATTTACATAACTTTTTATCACAGACAACTTAGTGGTACATTACAATAGCACAACTATAGAATAATATCGATATCGCCAAGGAACAAAATTGTAACAATTATTTTGGAAATATGATAAGGTTGTTAGGTAATGAAAAATAAATACGAACTTCAACAAAAAATAATATTTACATTGAAATAAACATAGATGTTCTGATTCAGAGTCATAAAATCTCACGATTTTCCTAATAAATTAAAAAGCGATCGGCCATGGTGTGACCTCATATCAGTGTTAATATTTCAGCATCAGACAAACTAATCGTAAACAACTCCCTTTTTATTTTGAAGCACATCACTAGATGGCGCTGTTCCGATGTTATTGACGTCTTTATAATTTTAAATACCCGCCGTCAGTTTTATTTACATTTACGCGGATATAAAAAAGTTGAAATTTTAAGGCAAGAAAATGTTTTATATTTTATATATATTTCATTTTTATTAGCTAAATTAAATAGAAGAAAACATTTAGAAATACCCTGTTACAGAAATACTATGTTACTTTTCTTAATGTTTTTCATGCGAAGTGCAAAGTTACAGAAATTATATTCCCTTATAGTTATCGATATGCTCTATACTAACAATTGAAGCTTAGTTTTAAAGATTTTATATAATTTTTTCAAACCGTAATAAATTGTTGTTAATATATCCCGCATACTTTGTTTGCAGGAATTGCTTTATCTGAAAAATAATTTTATAACCTTTTTAAATATCACGGGTACATTCAAATAAATAAATAAATATAAAAGAACATCACATACATTGCTCAGATTCCAAGATGAGTATCTGAGACAACGAAGGTACCACAACACCCAGACCCGGAACAATATAGAAAAGTTCATTTTCTACATTGACCCGTCCGAGAATCGAACCAGAGACCTCAGAGATGGGGACACCTTGAAATACCTGTTTATATTCGCATTTGATGAAGTGCTGCCAGCTATTATTACTGCTGGGATTTATTACGTCCTGACTATCTGACAGAAACGGTAGATGGCGCCACGAGTCAAACTAATCTGTGGTTTAAATAACTTTCGTTTACGAGTTTCATATTTTCTTACATTCAAATTAAGAGTCTAATTGCCAGTACTGTGTCATATAGATTTCTTGCGTTGTGCCACTCAATGTTGACGATCTCCGCAACAGTGGCACATTTTAAAAGGTCATAAATTTTACCGTTCCGGGTTTGATTCCTGGTCGGATTATGTAGAAAATAATTTTTATATATTACCTCATAATCTCGTTATTTCAAATACTCCACAATGCAAGTGCTATCGCTTACACTACATTATATTACATTATATAAAATTCTTACCGATCATCTTTGGGTAAGGCAAGTTCAATGTGTCCATTATATGTACAAATTCTTTAAGCGATTTTGTCAAACGTGGATTATATTTCTTCTCCTCCCCAACTGTTGTTGCCGTTTGCCCCCTGTAGTCATGAGCGGGATATAATATATAATTATCGGGCAGCGTGAATATCTTTGTATGTACAGAATTGTAGAGTGACTCCGACGAGCCTTCCTGGAAATCTGTGCGACCGCAGCCCCGTATCAAAAGTGTATCGCCAGTGAACGCTATACCCTGGAACAAGGATTGTTATCGCTATGAAGTGGATGATCAAATTCTAGGCATTATCATCTGAGGGATCGATGTATATTCCTAGCTGGTGCGGGCAAAAAATTGACAATTATCCAAAGTATTATGTTAGAGTTGAAAGTATACGACATGTATCGCAGGGTTGTGTCCAACAAGTGAAAATACAGGTTTCTGTTATATGTTCAAAAAATATGAGCCATTTTAACTTATACATATTTAACAAAATTAATTTTATGACACTAATTTGGGAAATCTTATGATTTGTAAACTGGAAAAAGTAAGGAAATAATACATCAAAAATAAGCTAAAATACATATGACATTAAATTAGTTACATAAAAAGTAACAACATTCATAACGAAAATATTACAATGATTGCCTAGACTCCCATACATTTTACGCTACTAGCAGCAGTTCCACAAACATTTATAAGTGAATAGTCCATTAATATCTGAAAAATAATGTAGAAGTAACAGCATTATATCTCTGCAACTATAAATCTGACATGCTAATCTAAGTTGTCAGCTAGCCTATTCTTTATCATTGCCGCCGTGTTCTGACTATTATAATTGCTATAGGCACCTATAGCGCCCCACCCACGGTTCGTCGAAGCCATATCGGGGTTCGGAGCATACTCGTCTTGAATAGAAACTATTCTTACGGTCGGTCGAAAGGCAGACGAATTTGCTAGTCTTCAATATTTTGGATACATTTGGTCTGCCTTACACATTATATCCTTCCCACGATCTGTCTGCGTCTATCTCGAATTTTACCGACCGTGGGAGGCCAGCCTAACAAAACGCTGTACTCACGCTATAATAACTTGACCTTTATTTATTAAGTGTTAAAGATCTGCCCCCTAACTCTCGAACGCAAACGCGACCGATGGACATTAGAATTGTGCCAGAATTGGGACCGAATGACCGAACGACCCAAAAATACTTCCAAAAGCTAATTAAAGTAACGTTTTTTTGAATTAACTTAACGTTGCCAATGATAGTTCTTGTTGTTACAAGGAAAGCTGCCTAATTAACTCTACAAAATTTTAAGTAAGTTAAGCGTTTTTGTTTTAATGATACCGGGTGATAACACAATCGGCCGTTCAGTTACCGCATCGATAAAACTTCAATAACAAGATAATACTGAACAATACGCTTCTGTTACTGTGCAGCCAGCATTATCCACCATTATTAACTATAATACCGTTATTATAGAAATTCAATGGTGCATTTAACTCATTACGAAGAAAAATGTAAAAATATACAATTACAATAGCTTAGGCAATAAGTAGTCGGAAAATATAAGTTTAGGTTCATAAAATAAAGTAACTTATTTTTAAAATTCCATTCAAAATTTTCTAATATTTAGTTTTATTTACTAAGGGAATCTGTAGCCGCCATGATATGACGTCATTCAGACAAGAAAATAAAGTAAAAATAACCCGTTTTCCCTCGCAGCTTATTTTTTTAATATAAAATGATAAAATAAAGAAAGTTATTTTTCTTAAAATAATACGATAGAAAGCGTTTTTGTAAAAGTAGATCGCATAAAACCAATAATAAATTATTTATATGGCAAAAAGTGCTTAAAATTAAAATAAATATATATATATATATATATATCAACGCGATTGTTTATGACACCAACTGACGTCACGCCTACAGAGGAACATGGCGTTCAGCATTCTCATTCAATGTAATATTAAGACGTATTTTTATGGCGCTTACTGAATAAATAAAATGTTGTATTTTTTTCGTGAATAGAGATACTTTTCAAAAATTGCAATAACGTGTCACATAAATTTATAAAAAAAAAAATCATCTAAAATCCCGATTAGAAAGGCTCAGACTGAAGTTCGCCGCTAGTCGCTACAATATATTGTATCATGACCGTAATAGGAACGTGCCAGCTAAAATCAAGCGCCCAATACAACCATTACTTTAAAACCATAAATAAATTTCATAAACGAGTAAATTAAAAACAATTCCTTCACCTTTTTTATTGTTATTGCATTCTACTTAGTACTTTCTTGTATAAGCACACTTAGTTCACTCTTACTCAAATTATTGAACCTATAGAGATTGGACATTTTGACTAACGTTTCGAAAATATATAGATGTCACAGCCAAATGGATGAAATAATCGTTGAATAGAACGACTAACCCTTTTGGTGTCAGTCAAATAAACGGCTAATTTTTAATTGAACAATTGAAATTTAAAACTTTCAACAAGATGGCTGATTTAAAAGCCGTAGTAACGTTCATTAAGTTTAAGTATTTTACTGAAGTATAACGACTCATCTAACGAATCACGCCGAGAATTTACAACAAGTCAATTCCACCAGTATATATCCATTTTTTTATGTGGAACTCTTATGTATAAATGAGACTTACAAACTAACCTGATCGTGACAAATATACGTCAAACAGCCATTAGTGTGGCCAGGCGTCGCAACTGCCAACAACTGATGGCATCCAAAGTCCACCGAGTCTCCTTCCACCAGGTGTATGTCAGCTTGGGCACCAGACGCTTTGCCAATGACGCTCTTAGTGCCCGGCAATAAGGACTTCAGTTTACCAGTGCCGGTCACATGGTCCGCATGCATATGGGTATTCACTGTAACAGAATTAAATAAACATGCATATATAAACGTCACAGCTGTCTTTATTAATTAAATAATCATTATTCCGCATGCTTCTGTATTGATGACCCAAAAATTGATATTGCAATACTTATGTTTTTATACAACACACTTTTTACCTACATAACACGCTGACATAAAGACTTTTTGAATACGAAGTTCTCACAAGAACACCATGCGAGTACAAAAATTGTAGAACATACTAGGTAGGAACATAGGTACAATATTCAGTAAAAAGGCACGATATGTATATGAAAAACCAAACTTGGTTCGAACCAGCTAAGTAATAATTATTTTAAAAATTCGATAGCCTGGTTCGAGGCCACTCTTATTTTTTAACATGAAGGAACTGCGCTAGACACTCTCTCTGTTATCTAGCAAGCAACAGGGAATGTGTGGGACTCTCCTCCTTAAACTCGGTAGTGAGCTGCACAAGGGGTTTCCGGAAGCCTACCCACCAAAACTTACCACCTTCTGGGTTTGAATAAACACTAATATAGTTGAATTTTTTTATAAATACAAGAAATTTTGAATCCACAAATGCAAAAAGAAAATATCGCACAGCAATTTCGAAAACTAGCAAAATAAAACATAATAATTACACGCTCACTTGCAAACAGTAAGTTGAATCCCAACTCGTTGATCAGATTGGCATCACGCTCGGCGTGTTCAATCACCGGATCGATGAGTACAGCCTCGAGCGTTTTATTATCCGCCAGGATGTAAGTGTATGTGCTGCTCACCGTGTCGAAAAGCTACAAACAGATATAAACAGTCCCCAACATTACCAGCCTATAAAGGAGAATGGGCAGAAGTCGGCCAAAATTGCGCACTACACATTTATTTATACAAAAAACTTCTCTACAATTATGATTAATTATACGTAAAACTATTTCCAAATTGCGCGATGTTTAAAGTTACATCTATTTATTTATAAGTAATGTTATTGCTCTTACATGCGTAGATATTATAACAACATAACCTCAAAATGCTTGTTAAATATTCAGATATTCTCAAAATCCCACATAATTTTAAAATTATTATTTTTCTACATATTCTAAAAATAATTATCTATCGTTTATTGTTACTCTCAACAAGGCACACGGTAATGCAAAAATAGCCGAATTCTTATAATAAATTGCCCATTCACCTTTCCCCACTGCTGCGGCTCAGGCCTTCCCTATAGATGGAATCGAATAAAATCATCACGCTTCCAGTGCGGATTGGTAAGTTAAAGACTGCAGATGTAGCAGGAACCAACGGCTTAACGTGCATTCCGAAGCACGGAGGAGCTCGATATAATAAATTTTCGGTCACCAATCCAAACCAAGGCCATTGCCTAAGATACTTAACAACTGTATCGCAGATCGAGCGCGATAACCACTGTGCCATCGAGCTCCTAAAATAAAAACAGTTAATTTTTTTAATTAAACATACAATACGCCATATCGTTTCAGACGCCTAGTCAAGTCAATGAATCAACAGGAAAGGGATAAAGGTTTTATTTATCATTTAATTTGACCCAATTACGATGGGTTGCACAAACGGCCATTATGGTTTAATGACGCCTTTAAGCTTTAATGAATGTCGAATTTGTATCGATAATGTGGCTTTAGACTAATGATAATTTTAATATGCGTTTATGCAACAGGCTGTAAGACAAGCTAAATTACTAAAATAATAGGCTAATAACGTCCATATAGTGCCTATATAAAAATAAATAGAGAATATTTAAGTAGCTCCTAGTTCTTCTTTCTTACCGTTCCACTAATCACATTCTTATACACATGACTTTTTTAGTAAAAGCCGCTTTTTAACTGTTTCTTATTTTTTAATATTTTATTAGAAAAGATATATTAATTTTACAATTATTAAAACAAAACCTGTACACGTACGTACTTAACTTTTATCTATACGTACTTAACATTTGCCTATGTGCCATAAATTGGATAATACATGGAAACACTTCCCTTCCCCTACTCAAGAAGTTGCACATGAAGTTAACAAAACGCTATGCTCTTGCGTTATTGCCAAAAAGAACAATGATGAAGCAATAAAATCACTCACAATCGTAATAAAACGCCTATGAAGACTGTCTTTGTAAGCCCGAGTACTAAACGTCCAATTAAAATACGTTCTACAGTTACAGTCTTGTAACTGACTGACTTGTAGTTATCTAGGACTATTATTTTTATATTACAAAGATAGGTAGGTATTATAACTTAGTGTTTCAAGTTACGTAACTGGACTACAAACGCTTTATTCCAAACTTGGTTCCCCAAAAACGAACATCTGACGCATATAAATGAATTTGAAACATAGAGACCATTATAGAGGTTAGAAAAATAAAAATAATGCTAACTATATCATACGATATATCTGTTTTTTTTTTTCTACCGAGGGGAACTGACCATAACATTCATCGACCTTGATAAGAAGCTGACTCACAGCGGCTAAACCCGGGCTCTCCTGCTGCGGAGGTTAAACAGCACAGCAGACCTACCGTGCAAAACCTCCGTATTACCCTCACACATGGTCTGAAACCTGGTGTCTGACAATAATACCCATGTAATTGTACGATATTTCTAATATGAAGGCTTTCTATGAAAATATAAAATATTTTTAATAATTTCCTAAAAAATATTCCAACTCACCTGTCTGAAAAAGAAATTTGAACCCTTTTCCGATGCAGAAGACATCATTCTTGTTTGTGTACCACCATTTGATGTTAACCACGCACCTACCAACTTGTAACTGGGCATAGTCAACCTAGGCAGCATTCTATAAAAATTTTATTATTTCACAATTAGTATTCGTAATTACACACAGGACGTAGAAGACAGGATATACAGTTCTTTTTTATCTTGCTTATGAAATCCACAGAGTACATTACACAATATAATTATTAGTCTAAGTTATTCAAAGGTGTGAATCATGAAGTTAAACAAAAGATAATAACAAATGATATAAGCGCCATTTTACAATGAGAAATAAACTCTGTTACAATAGTTTTGACTTTGTGTACTTAATGATCAGGCAGGTTTCAAATTTAAATGTAAAGTCCGACGAATGAAAATTATACGAACAGTTGTCACTGACGTCAAAATATACATAGATATACAGCCAGTTGCACAAAAGTCCATTAAAAATGTCATTAGTTTAAAGCGAAATTACTGATACAAATTTGACATATATTGGAGCTTAAAGGCGTTATTAAACCTTAATGGACGTTTGTGCAACTGGTTTTTAGGCTATTGCTATGTTATAAACTGACTGTTGCAGAAACGTCCATTAAAGTTTAGGGACTTCAAGCTCAAATGAATGTACAATTTGTATGGGTAATGTCGCATTAAACGTAGGCGTTTGTACAAATGACTGAAAGATTTTAAAACTTAATTGAAATCCAGGAAAATAATGGTTAATAAGCAGTTTTCTTTATTGAATATATCGATATCCACACTACAGTTTTACTAAAATATTTATTTAACAAAACATAACAGTGGCATTGAACTACACAACTAAACATCAATTAGCCAAATAGATGAACACTATATTCCATATTAAAACTAGCCAAATGAAATAGTTATACAACTTTTTAAGTAGCTCGGTGGCGTAGTGGATAAGCGCCGCGACCCGCGATCGTTGTCGTTAAGCAACTTTTGCAAGGGTCGGTCACGGGATGGGTTACCAAAAAAAATATATATATTATCTCAAGCTACTCCGTGCTTCAGAAGTCACGTTAAGCCGTTAGTCCCGGCTGCATTTGTAGTCGTTAATACCCTCCAATTCGCATTGGGCCAGCATGGAGGGTCATGACCCATCCTCCTTAACCATCCATAAAGGCCTGAGCCTCTGCAGTGGGGACGTAAAAGGGCTAATGCTGATGATGATGATAACAACTTTTATAGATAACATTTCAATTTACAAAAAGCTACTGTTATCTGTGTTTTATAAGAGAAGTGGGTTAACCTAGTAACATCATAATTTATTTAATTATTTCTATCATCATATGTTTTTTAAATTCAACAGAGTTTTTTATGATTAAAATTAACAACAAAATGTTTGTTTTGATTGCCAACAGTAGATTTCAAATGAATTCTACTGCTGCTACATTTTCACCTCAACCACAACGCAAAGGCGGGGACTAATGGCCACACTCAATTTCCTAACTGAACCTTGAGTCACGACCGAATATCCCAAGTGTTATTTATATTAATACTTCTTCATTATTTTTTACTTTGAATAAAACTGGCAACATGTTTTGATAATTATATTTTCACAATAAAATAACTTAGAAGAATCTATAGCACCCAACTTTTATGCTGCTGTCTTATAAACAAAACAAGTGCTTAAGTTGCTGAAAACATACTAACTAATTCAACGTACCAGCTGATTATCAGGCAGCCGACAAACTGCACATTTTAATTAAGATCATTTATATAGAAACTATCAATGTGGTTTTCGGAAATATAAACATGGCAATCATATAAGTTTATAGAAAAAATTTTAATGAAGTAAACAAACGAAAGCTTCCAATCGCTTTATTCATAGACTTGACTAAAGCTTTTGACAATGTTTACCACAATACATTAATCACAAAAAATCCACCAGACCCAGCAGTGGCATAACTATACCATTTGAGGCCCTAGGCAAATTTAATTAACATTCTATTTTTTATACTTATTGTGTAATAATACATGTCAGGAGTCTCCTCTTACCGAGGGCCCCTTCCAGCTGGAGCCCCGTGGCATTTTGCCGACTTGCCACCCTGTAGTTACACCACTGAACCCCAGGTTTTAATCTAATCTAAAGTGACATATTTTCTTCAAATTATGCAATTGATTTATTTCAATTTTTCAAGGTAATATGTCATGTATGTTGAATCCATCATGTTGAACAAATAATTGATTATGAATATTTAATTGCATTGCTTGCATGTCATAGTATGGCCTCTTTGATTGGACCCCTAGTCCATGAACCAGTATAGATTAGGAAACACTGTTTAAGGAGAAAAGAAAACAGAAAAAGTACATCAGGTTATATTAATCTGTCAAATTTTGATACTTGATATTAAATCTTAATGTTTTTTGTCGAGTTAAAATGAACTGGAGAAATTAGACATATTGTGATAACCTGACATGCAGCCTTGTGTACTAACTAAAGTTTAGATTAGAAGTTGATGATGCTTACGATTTTATAATGATATATATTCCAGAGATGGTAAGATTAAAAATATATAATCAAATACATAAAATTTGTTTTATTACTTTACACGAACTAATTTATGTTTAGAAATAAAAAAATACATTAAATAATTTGATCGATATGATAGAATATGATATTTCCTTGCATGTCATTTTTAAATCATTCAAAATCTAACTTACCTCATTTTTTTAAGAGCCCGGATCTATAATTTTATACACAACCTAAGTCGTTCTCAAGCAATTTTCGATTAAAGACTGTGAATGAACAGCTATCAGCAAAATAAATTAAATAGGTACGTAAGTAATCAATTTGATGACGTTAACAAGATTATTTTATTACTGTTTTTCATGCCCGATTACTCAATTCCGATAGTCTTGCAAACAAAATACGAAACGATAAACAAAGTTTCTCACAATACAGCGGTCACTGTCAACATGCCGTCATGTGTCGAATTGAAAATGACAGCAACTGTCAAAGTCAGCTGTTTATTACTTACTATTACCACGAATCTATACCAAGTCTATACCAGACTGGACTGCTTATTGTTTTTAAAGTGAGAAAGTAGAATAGTCGCCTTTCATCTCTTCCTAGTTTTGTAGCGATATATCTGCATCTATTTTGTAAATATGAATAAATAAGGAGAGGAGGAAAATAATTATTATATTAAATTACTTTTCTATTCACAATTATAGTGATGGTTATTTTATGGAAACAATAACAAAAAAAAGCTTTACTTTGTGACTTAACGTTAGGAAGAAAAAGAAATTTGTCTTACTTTATCACTACTAAAACATCACACTCTTAAGTTCCGTATGAAAACCCACATATTATTTTTGTCGATATGCACACAAAGAAGATAGAAAATCTTAAATATTTTCTTCCAGACTCAAGTCAACTAACCAAGAAACGCATATTATGTGCCTCGAACCATAATAAATATATAAGTATTAATAGTTTAATTACATTTTGTTTAGGAGGTACACACCGACTACCTTACTATATTTTGTTTTCTCCTTTCGTGGGCCTGTTGGTAGAAATTTCAATTTGAAATAAGCAGTGCCCTTGTACAAATTTCTGTTATAAGTGTTTATATCAATTATATGTGTGTACAAAATGCATAAATGGCTACTAATATTATAAAGCTGAAGAGTTTGTTTGTTTGTTTGTTTAAACGCACTAATCTCAGAAACTACAGGTTCGAATTGAAAAATTATTTTTGTGTTGAATAGACCATTTATCGAAGAAGGCTTGAGCCTATATAACATCACGCTGTAACTATTATGAGATAACGCGGCCGAAGAAATAATGGAAAACGCGGACGAAGTCGCTGGCGGCCACTAATAAATAAATAAAATAAAAATAAAACCAATATGCTTTTAACGTGCCACGATTAATCTGTCGCTGTTTATTTGTTACTTATTAAAAAAGAAAAACAAGGAAACTCTGATAAGGCTTTCACACTACTGAATAAAAATAAAGAATGAAACAAAAGTTGAGTTGAAACAAGTACCTCTACTTTATACTAAATGTAGATGATATAATAGATTTTGCTTTCTAGCCTTCTTTTAAGTATTTTACAACACTACAGCTCTATTAAATAATTCATCAATCTGTTCTATAATCCTCACCAGACCTCTCAAAGTGAGTTTTTTTTTTAACTTTATATTCTGAATTAGGCTGTTACTCATAGTTTCGACGAAGTTAGAGTTTTTCAAAAACAATTCTTTAAGTTTATAAAGCTCACAAACTTCACTTTACGTTTTTGTAATAATTAAAATTTTCTAACTATAAGGTAAACTAAAAAGTAATGTATGAAATGTCAACGTTATATATATATAAAAATAGTGTATATATATATATATATGTCATTGATCCTATAACTCATACCACGACACAATTTTTTATTTGCAATATACTGGCAACCCACTGGAGGCAGTCATCAGCTTAAAGCCACTTTCTAGGGCTTTAAGCTGATGACTGCCTCCAGTGGGTTGCTTACACTACCCAATTTCTAGGGTCCCTTACCCTGATGTTTGGGTGGTGTAATAAGGGTTAAAAGAACCTATCATCCTAGATGTTAGACAGCTTTATCCTTGTTTTCTAATATGCTTAAGCAATGAAGAAATATTTAAAAAATAAAAATTTGTTCTTGAAATCTAACTAGATATCACTAGCGATTTTCGGATAATTGTCTATGATACTGATATTCATTAAAATTTTCTTTCTAACGTAATAAAAGTAAATTGAGTATCGAATAAAAAAAAATACATCGTTTCGTTTTCTTATAGTATCTAACTTTCAAATTAATTTTAATTTATTTGAATCGTAAGTTTAAGTTATTTACTATTATGTGTTAAGGAACGATGTTGGGCTTATATGTCAACATTAGTGATGAGTCAACTTATTTATTGTTCGTAACTTCAATAGACTCAAGTCATCCAAATTCAGGTTTGGAATGAAGAATTATTCTTATATTAGGTCTATTCGTTTCCTGCAAAAATCTACTTTCGGTAGAGTCGTCATTTAGTGAGGTGCTTTTAAATGCTTTTTTAATACTTCTTCATTGTTTTGATCCATCTAATTTAGAGTATATATAGGGTATTAAGGTAGGGTATATACTTCCTTCAATATAGTTTAGAAATAATACAGACATCTAGGATAATATTTAATGATATAACGATTAGCATGGGAACAACTATAC